AAAAAAAAAAAAAAAAAAAAAAGATGCAGAAGCCAGTTACTCAGTCACAGATGGATTAATCTAAGGAAATCATGGTGGTCACAGCATTCCTTCTGCTCCCGGCAGCAGTACTTTCTGTGATGAGATCCATAAATTGTATCTGGACTTTAAGCTGAATAAATCTGTCACATTATTAATACTATAAATTAATTCTAAAACAGCCTGGGCATATTACAAACCTTGGGAAATTTGTACTTTTTGACTTTGGTAATGACTAAAAATACCATATTCTTTTTTTAAAAGGTGTGGTAAAATACACATAAAATTTGCCATTTTAAAGTATGAAAGTCAGTGGCATTTAGAACTTTCACAATATTGTGCAACCATCACCACTATTCTGTTGTTCATGGTCATCAGCCCAAACAGAAAACCCCACACCCATTAAAGGTCACTCCCTTCTCCCCTAGCAATCACTACTCTGATTTCTGTCTCTCCGGATTACCCTATTCTGGGTATTTCAGATAAACAGAATCATAGAATATCTCACCTCTTTGTCTAGCTTTATTCATTTAGCCTGTTTTTTCCTCCAACAACTAATATCAATTCTGAGAAAACAAAGGTAACACTGGAAACTGGCCTCTGAGGTACATGTGTCATCAGCACAATTACTTTTCAGAATGCAGCTGGTTTGCAGTGCTGACTGGTATTTAAACTGATCAAATAACGCAACTTCAACACTGTAAATGCAGAATTAAAATCTTCAGAATTCACGTCCACTGAATTAACTACTCAAAGCAGCTTATTACATATGCCAGGCCTGTGACCACAAGGCGGTTGGAATGTTATAGGAAATCAATACTGTTCTCTAATTTCTGATCCTTCATTAAAAATACGGAAACAATCTGCAAAACTCATCCGTCAACTGACATGAAGGACATCCAAGTGACAAAGCTCGTCACTGGGTGGTATGACTTTTGAACAGATGTAACACTATTATTTCCATTTCTACAGTTTGATTTCTTTTAATCAAATAATGTGGTTAAATCTGAACGCTGACACTTTAGTTGGACTTAGCGGTACGTGCTGCTTTTGTTTCTTCATTGGTGCCCTGAAACACACTTTTTAAAAAGTAGGATAAATTGTTCAATCTAAAATTACTGAGCAAAACTACTTAATTTAGGATTGACTCATCAGCAAATTGAAAAGTCATGGGATAAATAAGCAATAAAGACCACATGGAAAAAGGAATTCAAAACAAAAAGTAACTCTAGGCAAGACACTCTTCTTTAACTTCAATTTTTTGAACAATAACAAATTGTTGCCACTGTTCTTATATACACCTCATAACTTCTACTTACCAATGTAAAAGGGATTTAAACACCTACTTAATGCTAATCAGTTAAATATCAACCTGTTTACCTCAGATCTTGTCTGAGAAAAAAATTCTAACAATTTAAAACTAAAACTGATGCATTTGCCTTCGTTAGGAAAGAAAAATTTGACCCGATGAATTGGTCTTAGTAAGACGTCAACAGAAATGCAGGTTTATTACTTTAAAACACATAAACTATCACCACCACTTGAACTATGTATTGAAAAATCATTTCATAGTATAATATTTGCATGCAAATAGTTAATAAAATGATTTTAGAATAATTAATTTTTGTTGGTATTAGTAAAAAGTAAATATCACATTTTCCTTGCTCATGTTGTCAGTTTGCTTTAGAAATGCTTTCCTTCATGGTAAAGGAGCTTCACTTCAGCATGTCAAGAAGATCAAAAATCATTTTTTAAAAAGGAGATTTACATCGATGAATGTTTACTGTATTTCTATATAGCATGTTCATGAATCTTCCTTGTAACCTATTTCTTTGTAGGTTCTGTATAATGAAAAGTCATTCTCCACCTAATACATTGAAATATGAAACAATTTGAATACCAAATGTCAATTTTGAAATGTTCTAAGGTAACAAAACATCTCAAGATGTATCTCCATTAATACATCTCAACATGTACTAGCCAATTATGGAGATTACACAAATCAAACAAATAAAAAATTTTTTAGTCACAGATGAAATACTGTGAATTCTAAAAATTCAGCAAAAGGTCCTAGTTTTACAAAGATTCTCAGAGCAACACACCACACTTGGCTAATTTCTTGGCTCCCAAATTCCTTCCAAAACAGTAGTAATCAAATAATATATACAACAGTATTTTTCAAATTATCTTACATCTAAATATCCTTTTCTTTTTGCATTTGCAAAGTGGAAAAATGATCTGTGTTGGAAATCTCTCTCTCAAATAACCCAATACACTCATTGCTACCTAAATTTTGAGTACCTCCGTTTTCTCATCAATAAAATGGGAATTTGAAAGGTCTTATATTTTGAACTTACTTTAGTCTTTTAAATGAAAGAAAATACTTATGTAAAAGGTGACCTCAAAAAGAAGCTATTACCGCCCCTTTATTTTCTTGAGAAAGAACTTCCTTAGAGTTGGCCTTTACTAATGTCACACTTTTTTTTAATTAGTTAAATCCTAACATAACCTACCATTAAATTATTCTGAACACAATAGAACAAGTCCTAATACGCTGATTTTCTTTAAAGGTATAACTGACAATCTCTGGCTTCCTAGGCCTGTGAACATGTTAAGTAAGACTACTTACAGCATTTACATAACCGCCCAAGACCCATCAGAGAAATTCTTCCCATCAAAAAAGTCTTTGTCCCGAAAATAAGGGCCAATAGCTTTCTTTCTACTGCACTTCTAAACAACCAACTCTGCAGGTTCCAATCACATCACTTCCAGTGTAGCTGTCATGCACGGAACACATTTTTAAATATCTGAGTAACTTTTCCTTAGGAAATTTGAAAAATAAACTCCATGTCTGTCTAGGTTGGAATGCAAAACATGAAGAAATCTGTTTTGCTTCCAAATAGGTGTACCTAAAACTAGTTACGTCTCTACAGGTAAAATCCATTATCAATATAGCAATATAAGCAACCAAATCTTCAAGGGATATAGAAGTTTTGTTAAAAACTCCATTCTCATCCACATCACTACGATCCCGATATCCAATGTTTAAGGGACAGATACTGATAGCAACACCGATAGGAAAATTGAAAGGATCCCTACAAAGGTTTTTGTGGGATTTCGTCCAATGTTTATCTACTTCTATTCTTTGCTTATCCTAAAAATATGTTCACATGACTCTGCCATTACTAAACAAGAGAATGCAATGACCAGGCTAAATGTTACTGTCAATGAACTAAAGTCTGCACTGCAATTTACCTCAAACAGAACACTAGTAAAATACTAGTGAGATTTAAAAGATTTCTACATTCTAATTTTAAAAAAAGTTCAACAACCACAGTACCCAATGTATTTTGTCATATGGCTGTAAGACTGAGACGATATCTACCTTTTAACCATTACTACTACTCTCAGTTTTCAATTGCACATATAAGTACAAACACATATCCACTCCAATAACACATAAGAGGGCAGGTGGCATGTCCAAGGCTTTCCTCTAAGATCTTATACTTTACTGCGCATCAGAATTACCTGGAGATGTTGTTAAACACAATTGCTGGTTGCTATCCCAAAGCTTCTGATTCTTTAAGTCTGGGCTAAGACTCAGAGTCCGCATGTCTAACAAACTGCCAGGTGATCCTGATGCTGCTGGTCCAGCGACCACAGTTTGGGAATCTCTCAGTGATCTGTGAGTCTCAAAAGGCAATGAGAGAGGCAGAAGAAAGGGAGGAACAGAAAGAGGGAGAGATTATGCTAACAGGCAGTGCTGGGGAAGGTGGCAGAAATTAAAACGGAATTCAAGTATTTCCCTCCCTTCTGATGCTTGCCTTTTGTCTTGCTGGTTAGCAAAGATTAAAAAACTAACAAAGATATCTCAAATGACAATCTACTAGGACAACATACAAACCTATACACGCTTAACAGGCGAAATACATGGTTCCCACTGCAAGTATTAGAGATATAATCATGCCAGAAACTCTTCAGCCTTTCCATACCCCTAAGTGGGACTGCTTTTAAGACACTGAAGGGGCAGAGAAACCTAACTAATGAGTTTTTCACATTAAAAACAAGTGTTCATCAGTAAAACATGGGTAAGCAATGATAATAAAAAGTAACACCTACAACATGCAGAAAACTCATATCACAGAAACAACAGGATTGTGTTTGGAAACTGTCAAACAAGGATTAAAATTTTATTGAATGAAAGTTTTTCTTTTTAAGTTATTGAGCCATATAAAGGGAAAACATTAATTTTATTAGAACTTGAACAAATGTTTCACAAAGAAAATATTTCAACAAAATAATATGGTGGCATAACAACAACAACAAAAAAGACAGCTAAAGATGTGTAAAAGAAATATAAGGTGAAAAAAATGTTAAACATCTCATGATCCAGTGTGGAAATAAGAAGTGTAAACTTAAAAACCATGAATTTTAAAAAGCATAGCCATAAAACAAAAAGTTAATGCTTGTGCTATCCTAACCAAAGACACATTCTTCAGGAAAACTTTAAAAGGCAGAGTTAGATTTTACAGTATGTGATCTCTGATTTCTGGCTTTTTCACATAAATAGAGACTTTATGCAATCCAATCTCACAGTTGAAAGTTTAAGCACTGAGAAAAAAGTATTTTACTACTTTAAATGACAGGTGACGCAAAACAATTGATTTAGTCTTTAACGCTACATTTCTCGATTGTACTAGGGTCTTGATCCAACCAAAACAAGTCTTAAGCAGTTGAGAATTCTTTTCTAATGCCCAAGGAACGTCTCTGCCCAGCCTGATTGCCATATATGGGCATCAAAAACCTAGTAACCACAGAGTACTCTCAGGGACAAATGTAGGAACAGAAGAACGCGATAGAGTTTTGACAATTATAACAAGGTAATCTGTCATCATTTCAAACTACCAAATGCCATAATTTACTTAGGACAGATTATTTAAGTATATGTCTCCATCTTTGCAAATTATTTCTAAATACTGATATTCACTTTTTAAACTAAATCAATTTGAAAATGATAACAAAGTACTTCAAGAATGGTCTTTGAACATTTTTCTGCTATACTTTGATCTTTATACAAAAGGTGCAATTCTCACTTTCTTGGTAATCTACGGAAAATTGGAAATGTCTCGAAGAGATTGTCAACCAAGACAGTTTTCTGCATGATTATCATCTTACAAAGATGCCAAATTTCAAGTTTTTAGATGTCTTAGAACTCAGTTGTAATTTTTATAATCAAAAGGCAAAAATTTTAAATGCTTATGGAAAGTAGTTACATTCTGAATACTTGAAATTTACTCACACAATATGCCCAATTCACACTTAAAATGAGGTATATTTCCTTTTCTAATGGCAAATATGTTTAATTTGAAACTGTTCAAATTAAACATAGGCCTGCTTTTTGTTTCCTATTTTTGCTTTAACCTGTCATATTAACACACTGCCATCAATCTTGGGATGTGGCATCTAGCAAAAAAGAAAGCTGCATATGGTTACTCTTTGTATAATAGATAAGTATATTAGATGAAAACATCTTTGTGGATTATTTTTAAATCATGATAAATAGCGTTACTAAACATTAGTCAGGATTTTCAACATCATCAACAACTGTATATGGGGAGCACTACACAATACAAACTTCATAATGATCTTATGGTAGTGCTGAAGCAGTGGAGAATGGTTTTATCTGAAAAGCCTGTGCTGTAAAAGTTTGAATGGAAGCTTTTCTCTTCTGCTGCATGGACAGCAACCCACAGAAAACACGAGGAATACACTGTTTGGTCAGGATCTTGTTAGTTAACGAAGCAAAAAATTTAAGAAGCAAAATATGAGCACAATTAAAAATACTAATTCTGAAAATTATGTAGCTAAAAATTAAATCACCCTGTCCAGCAAGTTCCAAAAATGTCACACATTTCAAACATTAAGGCAACTTCTTCCCAACTAAATGGTACTTTATAAAAATATATGTCACTTCAAAACATTATATACATAGTGACAATAAATTTAGCTAGTTGTAAATCTTTAATACATTAATAAAGTGTCACATGTTACAAAGAAATTCTACTAGGTGCTTGCATGTATGTGCAAGTGAAGTCACAGTTTTAAAGTACAGGCTTCAACACCGAGCGCAGGGAACGTCCCTCTTTAGTCAGTTCTCTCGTCACACACATACACGGCAACGGGATTGCTTCCTCGCGTTTCTCAACAATGTTGTAACTGCATTTCTTCAAGTGGTCAGCCATGCTTAGGATGTCAGCAAATTTCCATTCATTAACAGAACAAAATGCAGTACTGAATCGCCATACCTAGAAGAAAATTCTACTTCAGATTTCAACACATCAATATATACAGAATCAAAACACACTTTTTTGCTCTGAATGCATACACAGCTACTATAAGAGACACATCTAATATAAAGTTTCACATAGTCACAAAATTAAAAAGTAATAAATCCATTTGATACAGATCTGTTTATAAGGTAAATAATTGAAGTCACGTGATATTATGACTTCAATAAATTTAAAAATAAAAATAAAAGGACAAAGTCCAGCATTAAAAAGTACAAGTAATCTGGCTTATTAAATGATTATTTAAAAATCTCAACCTCATGATTTTAGAGCTACTTCCTAGCACACTATTCTTTCAAACTGTCAACTGACCATATAGAAGTATCCACAGTCTAGAGATACTGACAAGTGTTATTTTGTTCTACGGTTTCCCCCCATCCTTACTTATACCATATGAAGAGTACTAACAAATGCCCTAGAATATTGTGTGCTAAGATAACTTATCTTTCCACTATTCACAAGCACTAAAGGTAGTCCGTGATATTTAAGGACATAGGTGCTTCAAATTGTTCAAAATTGTTTCTGAAAATTTATACAAAAATAGTGTTTGTAAAATGTATTTACTAAAAGAGCATTAAAAAAAAAACCCCAGCAAACTATGAAACTTAATCATATGGACCCCCATGAAAATCTGAAATTAAAATTTAAAAGCATGTAAATATATTAATAATTTTATCATCTACTATATGTTTAAATTGTGGTACTTTGGGTAATTTGATATATTACATGATTAGTACTAAAAACCCCCCCCAAAACAAAAAGAGTATTTATAAAATGAATCCCATTTTTGTCCATATCATTGTAAAATGTGTTTCTAGGCAAAGCATTCACCTGTTATCCCTACTTATGTGTCTGCTGTAAAAATTCGAGCTCCTTCCCTTTGTGCACACTCAAAAGGTCCAGGCTCTAAAACACTGTCATCTTATTAGACCAGCAGCGACTACAGTGGCCCCTTCTCATCTTTATAACTGAAAACATACAGCTACTGACAATCTGTAAAACAGTGTGAATACAGTGCAGGGCAGACCCAGGAAAAAAGCACGAATGCGGCAGGATAGGCCTAGGCATTCTAGCTAAGTTCATCCAAGGGAAATCCCTAGTCAGAAAACACAGAAATACATGGTGAAGAGCAGCTACTCTAGAAAGGAGCAGATTTGGGGAAAAGCCCTCAGCACCTTAAAACTTCTTAGGAAGGAATGGTAATGTCTTCTGGGGGTGGCTAGATACCTTCAAATTCTGAGGTAATACAATAATTTTTCAGCTAGCAACAGAAATTCCCATTGTTCAGCACAAAAGATACGTCCCATACTCCTTACAGTTTTTCTAAGAGCAGGTGAGACCTAGTGATATTTTAGATGTCACTAGCCTCCCTTCCAATTCCCTATATCCCAAAGAAATTAGGAGTTTTCTTGAAGCTTTGGCAGAATGAATTAACTGAAAGATTGGATGGTGGTAGGCGGCCTTTCCACTTTATACAACTAGGAGTCTGGTGAAATAAATTTAGGAAGAACAGACAAAAGAAAATGGATAACTCCCACCTACTGGGACAAGGTTTCTTAGTAATGGGTCAATTTTTCATTCAAGAATCCATCAAGTATTTCCTGAGAGCCTACTACATAGTAGACACTATGTAAGGCATTAGATATTTTATTTCTCATGCAGTCCCACTTTGTAAGTTACCGTCCAGAGACTAAAACTGCCAATTCCTCAATGAATTTCAGAAACAACATGGTAAGCCCTGTAGTAAGGGTACAAAACCGAACAGCAAGGGAACACAGATAGTGCATTTCCAGGAAGGCTTCGTGGTACGGGTTCCGATAGGCTTTCTTCAGGAAGTAAGACCAGAAGAATAAGCAAGATACAGCAAGAAGATGAAGATCGCAAGCTCAAGAGAGAGGCTCCTTAGGTCTGAACCCATTAATTAGCTGGACAAGTTACTCAACCGCTGTATCTTCATCCGTAAAGTGCAAAGTGAGTTAAGTTAATAAAAGTAAAGTACTACTGCACATTGTCTGGCAGGTTATGTTGCAGGGATTCAACGTGGATATTAGAGACAACATATGCAAAGACCTTAAGGCAAGAAAGAAAACACCACAGAACTTCAAGTAATCGATGCGGCTAGACCACAAAGTGGCAGGAGGAAACTGAAGAGGCAAGTAAGTATGGGATTATGAAAAGCCTTACATGTCTTATTAAGGAGTCGCCCTCTATCCAGGGGTAATGGACAAATATTAAAAACGTTTGAAGCAGAAGCACTGCAGTGACAGTGTAAGAACTGTATTTAAGAAAATATATTTCACCCAAGATCTGTGTTAAGAATATGTTGGAGAGAGGCCCAAGTATAAATAGAAACCTATTTAGGAGGGAGCTGTGGTAGTAATCCAGGAGAGACTAAAGTTGGCATGGAACTAGGGAAATGGCAGTGGAAACAGAGAAGCAAACCTGAGAGGTATAAAGAAGGGATAGTCAAGAGGATTTCCTGATTATCTAGATATAGGCAGAGCAGTCAACCTAACTCCCAAATTCCTGGTTTGGGAACCCTGGTAGATGATGGTAATACTTTCTGCAATTAAGAGAGGTAAAGGAATGGAATAAATTGGAGTTGTTAAGATTGAGGAAGCTATGCAACAATCAAGTAGAGAAGTCCAGAACATGCTTATATATTGTCTGGGGTTAAGTGGAGAAAATGGTGAGGATGTAAAAGTGTGAATAATCCACATGAATGATGGCCATTTAAACATGAAGAGTAGATGAGCTTTTCTGCAGGAATGAGTACAGAATCCCCAGAAAATACTTCATTCCATATATCAATATTAGTGGGGAAGGAAAAAAGAGGCCATATTCAGAGTGTCCCAACTCACAGAGGAGAAAAAACACCAAATTATCTGGAAAACAAAAATAGATTACATACACAAAGCAGGTGAAACCTTCCACCACTACAATTCCCTTTCGGGAAAAAAGCATATTGTGTCCATTTATTGGTTAAAGCCTAAAGAGAACTTAAAAGTAGATGCAGAATTCTGAAAAACTGGAGCAATGAGTAAAAAAGCAAGCCTAAGGGTGCTAAGAATAAAGTAACCAGAATTGGAATGCTACACAGCCAAATGTGAAGTTTATCAAAACTGTTTCCACTTTATAAAATGTGGTTTCATATTATAAATGTTCTAAAGTGAAAGATATCTTCAATCAAAGATATCTGCAGTGCCTTCTAGTTTCTACTGAGTAGTGCCTCAAATCCAAGTTGGGCAAGAGTAAGGTACCAGAGAAGGACAATGATGGAGATGGGGCTCAAGTTTCTAATACAGCATGCATCAGTCTGTTGTACTGTCTTAAAGCCAGATCACCCACCCAGTGTCAAACTCTACTGTCCTGCTTTCATCTCACTTTGGCTTAAAACACTGCCTATCCATTCATTTATGTTCCCCAAATACTTCCTTGGTAACTTACTGGTATGACCCCTTACTAGTAATTATAACCTCTTCTTATCTCCATTTAGGTACTCCTGAAACAACCAAATCCTCAGACACAAACTGGTACGAATGGAGAGAAAATGATAACTTTGAGCAGGACAAAAATCTCTCTCCTTGCTTCCTCCATTGTCTCATGGTAAAAATGTTTCAGATGGAGCCCAAGTTAGAAAATGTTAACATAGACCCAAATGAAAACAAAAAAACCCTCAATAAACAATAAAATAAAAATAAGAGACAGAGTTATAATTGTAGAGAGTGCTCATCTGAAAAAACAGAAATGCCCTCTGCCATATTAGTTTTTGTTTTTAATCTAGTTCTAGGAAATCTGCAGTAAAACTATGATCATGACAAACAATTCTACCTTATTCTAGTTCTTCATTAATTATCATTCAAATTTTGTCATATTGACAAATTAGTAAGTTTTAGGAGATGGTCAATTTACCAAGAAGTTAATAACTTAGGAGCAGTACTAAGGGCTGCTTCATGTCAATAAGAGGTAGATACAGTTAAGGTAAACTAACCTTTTCTTTTATCTGCCACGATGAATTTCCTTCTGGATACTTCCTCTTCCCCCACTGCAGTATGACCATTCCACGAGACTGAAGCAGACTGGCACAGACATCCCTCATCAACCTGGATACACATGAGAGCTGGCATAAGCTGAAGCCGTCAAGAAAACCTGCAATATGCTGCAAGACCTCAAAGGGAAGACTACTTAGATGGTCACTATGTAATCCCAACATACAGTTTCTAGCAGGCTCTACTAATACTGTAGATACACATGGCTGAACTCCGAATGACCTCAAATGGCGGTCATGTATAATCTTTGCTCCTTGTGTTGATGGACAAAATCTACGTTGAGAATAGGTACAACCATAATAAGCTAAAGGACACCTCTGTTCCATCCAGCCATTGAGTCCAGCATGAATGTCACCATGCACATTCTTAAAATGTGAAGAAAATTCCTTTCTTCTAAATAACTGTCCACACACAAAGGTAAACATTGAACGTTGCTTGGGTTGATACCTAGCAACACATTCCAATACTAAATCCAGTCCAAGAGTCTGAAAAGGACTTGGATTTGAAAGCTGTGGATTGGCATGATCACAAGCTGAAGCTGAAGCTATCTCACCAACCACTGTATTGGTAGCTAATATTGCAGATGGAAGCGAAAAAGTCTGAGTCCCAAAGTCAATGTGATAAACATCAACCATGCGGCTATCAGATATACCCCTCCCACCTGGAGAATCTCCCAAACAAAAGAGTAATGCTGCTGTGATCAGATCTATTCCTTGGAGGCCCATGGGATCTTCTGCAACTTCCAAGTCTGATGTATCTACTGCTTTATCTTCCTTTGGTTTAGACCAACATGAATTAGAAAGGAATTTGAATGAAGGAGAATGACTGAAAGATAAGACATCCATGTTCCGCAAGTCCCCCAAGTCTACTTTTCTCCAACACAATTCTCCTTCATCTTCATCATCTGCCATGAGGATATGCTGAACTGTGCCATTAGGCAAAGCACTGGATGGTATTACTTCCCTAAGTTGTGCTGCAACTGAAAGTGAACTGGAAGGTTCCGAAGTGCCATCTGGTGCTGCACATTCTCCGTTTGTCAACTTATTTTGTTTTGAATCACCATGCAAATTCTGACTCTGGTCTATGACCTGTGTACATATATTTTCCAAAGAAAAGCCATTACAAAGAGCAGAGGTGCCATAAGAACGTGTATTCAAGTCACATAGTAAATCACTTGAGCCATTCTGTTCAGACTGGGCATTCTGACTCGTATCATTATGGTCAATTCCACCTACTGCTCCTAGCTCATCCTCAGAAAGACAGTCTTGGTCTTTTAAGTTTCTATCCTGTAAACTTTCTCTTTCATTACGCTCTTCATCCATTTCATCTGGCGAAGCACAAAGACTTGTATTTAACCTGCCCATGTCTCTTGTGGCAGTATTCAGGATATCTAAAGCAGCAGCTAAACTTCTGGTTGTTTCTACAGTAGCTTGATAAAGTGCACCGTAAGATTCTTCATCGACAGACACCAAACCATTAGTATGTGGTACTTCTGGGACACTTGATTTAACTGAGATTTGTTCTTTAGATTCAGATACTTTGTCAGTCGCTTTGGACATAATGGTGGCTACTTTGAGAGATTCTAAGAGCATCCTTTGGTCTTGAAGGGCCAAGGCCATATCTAATTGTGCCACTTCATCAACATCTCTGCTTAGATTTTCATATGATTTCCGGTCTGCATAACTAACTGGCCATCGGTTCCACTCCATGGTACAGCACACCACGCTTGCAGGACACATTTCTAGATGTTCAGCAACTTTATTTCGGGCCATGGTAAATGGACATCCAAAATCACTATTTAAGCAAGGCACTCGTTCAAATGGACATAAAAGTCGATGCTCATCAGCTTTGCAAGAATGGAAAACTGCTCCACAAACCAATGGACAACCAATCAAGTCACAGGAAATTCCAGGCTCTGGTCTGGTCATACATCGTCTACTGACACAATTCACACAGTGTGAATGCTGCAGCGCTTCCTCCATAGTGGACAATTCCATTCTAGTTGTTGAAATGGAGAAAGATAAGAAGTTAGACAAAAAGTGGTTGATTTTTTGAAATTGTTTAATAACATAAATCACAGATACAATCTTGGCTTACTTTAGGATGAAATACATAAAATAAATATATTTAACCTATTAATTTTCGACATAATCAATACATCTTGAAAGAACTTATGAACTTTAATTTAACTAACAATTAAGTACCTTAAAATGTTATAAAGGATCATATGTATATAACTAAAAGGGCAAAAGCTTCAAAATATACCTCTTAAATTCTACTGCCATGTAGTATATAATGTCAGTAACAAGTTAAAGTGATTAGATTTCAGAGACTACTTCAGCTTTTAATTTTGTAATCTCAACTAAACAGATTTTGATGTATTCCATATTGCAGAAACCTCATCATTTGCCTAAAAGGGAACAATCTAAATTTCATGAATGTGCTTAACCAAAATTTTACTAGAAATTTTTTTTCCATGTTAAATATAGTAGATAAATTCATTAAAGACTTCATCTATTGGTGTCACTTTCAACAGCCCGTAACAAATCAACTAAGACTTACTTAGAACATTTAGGGAATTTATCCAGATAATAAAAGTTATAGTTTGAACTCTGTGGCCATGAGCAATCACTTACTGCTGAGGGCCAGCATGTCCACTTATATATCAAACGCCTACTTACTGTTTAATTCCCAAGTACTAGGCACTGTGTTTGGTATACCTGGTACATAGTACCTCACAGGGCCTCCTCTCAAGAAGCTATAGCAGTAAAAAAACATGTCCAGGGGACCTCAAGTTTCCTGGTATCACTGGATCACAAGGCAGTTCCAAAAGATGTGGCCAGACAGGAAAATGACAATTAGTGCTATATGCTTCTCTAAGGTCAGACTTTTAGTACTGATAAGTCCCTGAGAATTTTAAGCAGAGACACAGTGTCTATAGATAACAAGAAGGGATTACAGGTATCTAACAGTCTTTCCTGCTTTAAAATTTTCCTTATAAATTTAATCAAAAAATTGTATACCAAAAACAAATTGTAATCATTTTACTTTTAGTTTTTGAGCCCATCAATATATCTTCTCTATAATCATCAACTTATTGGTTTGTTTCCTACTAGCAGTAAAAACATAAAAGAATATTCTTTAAAGAATATAATAAATATTTTAAGAACATTTATTCTTAGGGCAGCGCCTGTGGCTCAAAGGAGTAGGGCGCCGGCACCCTATGCTGGAGGTGGTGGGTTCAAACCCAGCCCCAGCCAAAAACTGCAAAAAAAAATTTTTTTTCCTAAAATACCTGAAATAATAAAATATCTCCCTTGTGCTGCCATACTTTTATTTTTATTCAAATTCTCAGAAAAAAACTAAAAACCAAAAAGATTTATAATATGCCATACACACCTCAACTCTCTAATCTGTCTTTACAGTATGAATACTACCTCTATTAACACTGCTTCACAGAGATCTTAAGTACTATATCCACAGGACAGATTTTTTTCAGAACCCATCTTCTCTGGCCATTGTATCACGGTGAGGCCTCATCCATCCTTTTTAGACTATTGCTTTCTCTTACTTTTCATGATGTCACAAGTCTCCAGTTTTCCTCCTCCCTTTCTGGTTATCCCTTACTTTTGTTCATTTAAAATATTACTCTTCTTCAGTGTTCCGCGGCATTTCTTGCTCATTCTACATATTCTTCCTGGGTGCTCTCATTTTCTTCAGAAGTTCCAATTTCCACCCATGTGCTGAGATCCCTCTCCAAAAGCCCAGACCCAGACCTCTTCAACTATTTATGAATCTCCATAGTTGACCACCTGTCTACATTGACCACCTCCTTAAGTTGACCTAATTTTCATAGATGGGACATACACTACATGTACGTATCAATACAGTAGGCCTGTCTACACCCACACCATCCTGAACGTGCCCAATATCATCAGGACAATGGGCCTAGTTCCTTAGGTTCACCACCTCTATATATCAGCCAGTTTGTTACAGTCTCTAGAGTGGTCAACTTAGAGGTTCTACTCTATTTCCACTAGCATATGGCACAGGCAACTCAGCTCAACACTTCCCAAATTAAATGACGTTGTAGTAGGCAGTTTTCTGAATAAGAAGATGATTTTTAGTCTGTTTTCTTCACTTTGGTGTGATAGCTTCCTGATACGTTTTCCATAAATCCTATCTTGGTTGCAGGTAGCTAAAATAAGTACCCCTAAAATTGCTATATCATTCTAGTTGAGGATTTTCTCAAAGTAGAACAAAAGTCTACTTAAATCATCACAAAGAGCTTTTCTTAAGTTGAAAAGTTCTGATTTGATATCATGGTGTTCACTGATTCCAGGGAAAATACAAGGTACAAATTCAACACCAAAACTTTATTTTAAATTGTGTTTAAAAATTAGAAATTATGAGTTAAATACTTTTGACTGTCTATATTAATAAATTTTATATGAAGGTATATGTTTTATATGTAACTTTATATATAAATATAGCTCTAAAAAGACACGTTCAGTCAAAATAGAAATATAAGATGAAATCAATAAGATTAATGACAAACATTTGTAAATAAAGCAGACATTCAAAGAAAAATTTTAGTAAGAACTAAGATAAATCTTACTGAGTGATTAGATTGTGAAAACAGCTATAGCTCTCTTATTTTACAATACCTAAACTACTGAGTTCATTTCACATGCTAAAGGTAATAAGCTTTACCACTGCTATGGGAGAAACCTAATACGAGTAGTTTCAACAGAAGTACCCAGTGCTCTCAGAACTTTTAGAGATACTTTGTTACTGTACACACCATCACATCACATGACAACACCTGGCAAAACACATATTAAAAAATCAATTAAAAAATGTTTTAAAAATCAACTGCTACAAATGACTCTTGAGTTAAATGCAAAAAGAACAATAACTTTCAAAGACAGAAGTAGTCAAGTTTCAAAATAAAATAGCCTCTTTAACACTATTCCCCTCTGAATAAGAAGGTTAAAAAAATCCATTGCAACAAGCTCACAATATTACTTGTTGAAGTAGATTTAGAAAGAAGGAAAAGAGAACACTAATAATGTATCTATTTTGTCCTTCTTCACATATATCCTGTCACTTATTCTTCATAACAATTCACAGAAAACAGGTTAAGAAAGAATAACTGACTGGCCCAAGGTCATCTACCTAGTAACTGGCAGAGCTAGGATTTAAGTCTTTATCTGGTCAACATACATGGACAATAACAGAGATGTTTACTTCTAAAAGTTTGAGAAAATAGGGCAGCATGTCAGTAACTGTTGATCCCATTTTAAGATGTTATTTGAGGAAAGGAGATTACACAACATTGCTTGCAGTTTACTCCAACACTTAATCACCCCTGTGGTCAAGAAAGTTTTTTAGTCTTTTCTAATTATCATAGCACATTCCTTTCTTTTTATGTGTTTTTAATTATTTTTAAAATAATCTACAGATTATTAAATGTACGGAATATTATGAATTTAACAATTCTCGAAATAGCCAAAGGAGGAATTAAGTTTAATTCTATTTTATAGTTAAATGTGTTAAGAAATAAGGTAAGAAAATACAATAGTCAATACACAAAGAGTATTCTGGGGATAGAATCCTCAGTTCAGAATTTAATATTCTCCCAGATCCATCCTCTTTCTAATCAAGACCACTCACTATTGCCAGATTTAATATGCTTTCATAAAGTATTTCACAACTGCTTATAAACCTGTGAAACCGGTTTAAAAACATCAATCCCTGATTTATCAGTTGAACAGTGACACAGCAGGCCCAGCAGAAAGCATGTTGCTAATACCAAAGCTTCAACTTCAAGATAAGCTTATTTAAAACCCTTGATTTTTGTTTAACTCCCTTAAATCAGAAGCCTCACGTGCCAAATATTAATTAACATCCCAATTACCTTACACTTAAATTTAAATCACTAAAACAAGTTTCATCAGCCTAGAAAATATCTATAAATGATGAAATGCTTTCAAGAGCTTCAATTTTCTCTAACAGAAGTTCCTTGACAACTCATACTCTGTGGCTGACAGGCAATCCATAAAAATAGTTTTAAAACATGGCTTTTTCTCATACAAAGAAATGAGACCTTGTCCTTAAAAGAATAAAGACATTGTCCTCAAAAAACATTTATTTTTTCAAATACATTAAAACACATAAGAAGATAAGTACCTAAAGAAATTAGGTACACAAATTAGGATGATTTTAAGATATACCACAAAAACAATCACCTAACACAAGGTATGGATCCTGTATTATGCCTGTTCATTATACATTACATTTTTCCTTGATGACAACAACTCTCAGTAAATCATTATTCTGTTTAATATTTAATATTATTTCTAAAAGTTCCATGAAGGTCAGGACCATCTCTGACTCATTCATTCTTATGTTTCCTACATTCAAAACTCTGCCTCAATTAAAGACCTCACTTGTATTAAATACATAAAGAATTGTAAGAAAATTGTAAAATGAATCCCCCAAACAAGAGAGATTCTTGATTTCACTGAAAACTACAGACTCCATGAAAAGAAACAATCTTACAAGTCAGACATCAGACAAACTAAGGCAAAACTACCTCATGGTACTGGCCATAAAAAGTCAGTGGTGCTCAAACATTTATTGAGCACCTAGGCAATATGTTCCAGCCATTACATAGAGAGCAAGACAAATCATCTACCAAAAAGCAAATCAAAGACAGTTAATTTCACTTCCGCTGTTTTAAAACTTTAAAAAAATAAAGATACAGGTAGAAACATTTACCTTTCTATTTCTCCATTATTTGAATTCCCGAATCAATTTTTTCAGGCTGATTACTGAAAACCTGAATATAGAGGCACCAGGTACAAATAAAAAAGAAGAGGCTGATGTCTGAACTTGCAAAGGTGCTGAGCAGTGTATAGGGTGAGGAAAAGCAGCCTAAATCAGAAGTGGCATCACACTACTGCTTCTTACAATATGGCCGTAGAAGAAACAGAATTCTACTTAAACAATAACATGTTGCTTTAACCTAAGGCTGATATGGAACTACAAATGGACCAATTAACCATTATTACAAGTAAATCCACAATTACAATTTCAAATTTAATAGTTAGTTATAATCTCTTCCCAAGCCAATTTGATCCTTTGTACAGCTGGAGGTACTAGGGCATAGTAAATACAAACACTTGCTGATTGACCTGCTCATCAGATGGTGCACTCAGCCTTAAACATAATTAAGCTCTACCTCAGTTGGACACCTCACAGTTTTGTTTTTTTTTTAATGTGGGGTGGGGGGTGGCTAGACAAGATTTAAAAAATTCACTACTATTAAATTCCCAACTCAAAGCACATGTCCCCAGTAGTCCAAAATAGCTAAATGGATTACAATGTACATATTCCTTTATTAAAATCACAGGTGGGAGGATCCCTTGAGGTCAAGAATTCAAGACCAGTCTGAGCAAAAGCGAGACCCTGGACTCTATTACAAATAGAAAAATTAGCAGGGCATTGTGGCAGACACTTGTAGTCGCAGTTACCAAGGGGGCTGAGGCAGGAGGATCACTTGAACCCACTAGTTTGTGGTTGCTGTGAGCTAGGCTAATGGCAAGGCGCTCTTTCTTGCCTGGGCAACAGAGAGAGACTGTCTAAAACATAAATAAATAAATAAAATAGACAAGAACCCACTGACTTGATGTTCAGAAAAAAATAATCCATACAAATGGGTGAACTCAAGTTTATTAAATGGGCAGCATGCCGTGAGGGAGTGGGCTTCCAAGTCTCAATTCTGTGACCTTGGAGCAATTACTCAACTCTGAAAACAATCTAGAACTCTGGAAAGGTTGGTTACAATTGTGGGTATCCAATAAGATATAAATGTGTTCTCAGAAAACAGACATACTTCTGAGTTACCAATGTACACAACAGTCACATTTACACAAAGCTTTATGTATATTTTTATGAGGTTATTTAAATTTATAAAGTTTATTAAATGCAATCATATGAGGAACTGTCTAATGTCACATTACCGCCTCTCTAGGAAAAAAAAAAAAGGCTTTTTTTGTGAAAGATTTTAACAGACTGGGTTTTAATTGAGGTATGCTTGTACATACCCATATGTACCTAACATTTAGCTCCCTACAATAAAGCAGCAACTAGTTCCAGGCCAACATCATCTACTTCATCATGCCACATTTGAAATTAAATAATATTTCATGTAGTCTTTGACTCAAGACTTTAATATCTAAGAATTCTACAAATCAATACCATTTCATAGCAACTCCTTTAATCAAAATAAGTAGTCTTAGGAACTCAGTTAAAAGATTTTTCCAAAATATAATAACAAATGGCATAGGGCTTATCCCATTAAAACAGTTACATTTTAGAACACATTATATCAAACAGAAAACACATTATTTTAGTGACCTTAAAGTATCTAACTATATAAACTATCTTAAAATAGTAACCATTATTTATATAGTTGTTATTTAAATTCCCAACTCAAAGCACTACTTAATGATATACTACATTAGGACATTTATAAACAAAATCTCTCAATACTAGACATAGAGAAATACTGGACTGAAATTAAATACCCAGTACACTTGGAGACATAAAAATTTGCCTATATCCAAAACTTCAGTTCTAACATTCGCAAAACTCCACCTCCTAACATGTCCAAAAAAGCTTATGTCACCACATTAAAGCACCAGGTAAAAACAAATGGGCAATTTAAAAACTTAACAAAACATGTTATCCCCAATTAAACTTCTGGGGTGAGAAACAGTGACTAAGCATACAGAAGAGTGATTCAGCGAAAAGTGGAGATTGAAATATAACCCTCAGAAAAACCCTACAGGTATATTTTATATTACTCATTTTCTTTTGCCGTGTCAACTACGGGGCTGCTTTGGAAAAACTTTAATATGAGCAAATGTTTATGTTATTTAATAAGTCTCTAAAGGACAGTATTGAAATTTAGCAAATAGAAATTAAAACTCAGTTTGGACTTTTGTATTAAAAGTTTGAAATTAATCTACACTGATATCAGGATGCCCATAAATAACTTCATCTTGGATGAGAGTCAATGAAGTAATCATGGAATAAAAGGTCAATTCGTTCCCAAGCATCTTTTATCTGGGACTTACGACAGGGCTCAGAAAGAAAAACAAGAGAAAGGGAGAGGGGAATGGGAGTAGTAGGGCCATGGTAAACACATACTGTTCCGCCTGTCTGCCTCCAGACTCCCAAACAACACGTTAAAAACACACACACACGAGATTACTTTGAACCTAGCATGCGCTCTCTCTATCCCTTCCAAGCAATGTACCTCCAAGGAGCAGGACACTAATAACACAACCGCTCAGGTCTGAAAAATCAGGAAGTTTCCCTTTAATAAGGACTGAAGCTAAGACTGAGATCCTCACACTTCCATGAATGGAAAAGTTACCAACTTCGCTCATCCCGTGGAGATAGTGCAAGATGCCTCCCAGTCTCACTTTAACCCGTTTGTCCCCAAAGAATCCAAGTTTCTAAAAGCCAAAGGGCATGAGAAGCTGGGTTTCTTTCAAGATTCTTGGGGTTTCCTAAGTCTAACTCCTCCCCCGTCCCTTCCCAACACACAGACTCGCAAACTGGGCCGACGCGGGGGTCGGTGCCCTCGGGTGTGGGTCGCCATTTGCTGACCGTCTCAACGGCCGGCCGAGAACACTGGCGCCGCGGACGCCCTCTCCGCGCCCCCGAACGGGCGCCCCGGGACACGAACGAGCCCGGCCCGCTGCAGCGTCTCCTCCGCTCCAGTCCGGCCCGCCGACCCCGCGTCTCCGCCCCGCCGCGGGCCTCGCACGGCCTCCCTTACCGGCCTCCCGACACTCACCGGCCGGCGCGGCCGAACCGCGGCCCAGGCCCTGGCTGCCGTGGCCCGGCTGCCCCGCTGTGTCCCGGCGACGCTCCGAGCCCCACACCCCCGTCCGGTCCGCCTCCTCCGGGCCTCTGCCCCCCCTCGCCGAGCCACCGCCTTTTCTCTTCTCGTCTGCCTCCCGCAGAGGCGGCCGCCCTCCCCGCGAGCCCCGCCCCGCTCTGCCCCGCCCACCGGCCCGGCTTTCGGCCGCCAGCCCCGCGGGGGCGCGCACGCAGGGCCCGGCGGGGACGCGCACGCCGCCCTCTGACCCCGCAGCGACGTGGCAGAGAGTGGAATCCGTCGAGACCCCTGCGTTGGCGCGTTCCGCTGGGGGCTTCCCGGGGAGCGCATTTGAGCTCCTCCTCGGCGGTGCTACCAAATCTTGTTCAATTTTAGACTCTTGCTTTCCTGGAAGGAATCCTGGATCCCTGGTTTTATAGAGGAGGAAGCAGGCCCGAGTAGAATGACTTGTTCGCCCCGCCAGTTGCGGGAGAAGCAGCCTAAGTTTCTAGACTCCGGCGACAGCCCTCTTCCCATTAGCTCTGATTGGGAGGAAATGGGTCAGCTCTCGCTGAATCTTTGATGACTGCCGCCGCTCCGCCGGCCTTCCCGCTCCAACTCAACGTACCTAACCAAGTCTTGCGACTTAGTGCCGCGACCGCGCTGTGACCCGTTGCTCCTCGCAGGGTTGTAGCTCCCGGGGACCGGGCTCAGCCCTGCTCTTTGGAGCCCTGACGGGGCAGCCCACCACCGTCCGCTTCAGTGAGGAACCGAGGCGTCCGCCGCAAAGGGATCTAGCCGGGAAAGGGGCTTGACGCTGCTTTTGCAAGATACCTTACGTATGTTACCACATGGCCGCGGCAAAGAATGGATATCCACGCCCCCGTTACTAACACCAAGCCGTGGTCTGCGCGAACGACAGAAGGGGAGTCCTTTACCCACCCCCACCCCAGTGTCCATTCCGTAGACTCCTTCCCACTCCTGCGGTGAAAGAACTGTAACAAAGAGACTATGGCTGTAACCCTGGCAGTGGGGGTGGAGACAGGCAGGAAAACCCTATTTTGTCATTCTTTCTGCGGCTACATTTTTTTACTCCTTATTCTACCTTGGAAAAGACAGCTAACACAGAATTTGTTGTCCGGAGGAGAAATGACTCTCAGACTTTTGGATTTTAAAGCCCAGTAAATTTAACAACAATGAAAGCCGATAAATGAATTTTAAAAATTGTCTGTTTTTCTTATTTTGCTTAACTTGGCCGCCTGAAGAGCCTGGTCCTCAGTCCAAAGCTTGAGAATCACTATCCAGACAGCTGGACAGTTAGATGGTTAAGCAGTATGGCCTGGGGTCGGGGTAAGGGGGAAACACATGGATTCTGCTACATTTTACTTTTGGCCCATTTTGAGCTCACTGTCCTGGGTGGAGTCACACACCCTTCTTTTGCTTCTTTGCTTCGGTTGCTCCCCTGTGAAATAATGGTGCTGGAATAGATGATCTCTAAAGTCCTTCGCAGCTTTAAAATCTGAAGGTTCTATGATTGTACTTACTGAAATCTGGGGCTTTCTCCTTTGCTAAGTCCCCTCGCTGACATGAGGCCACCTCTACCACCTTAAGCTGAGTCATTCAGGGTGGAGACTTCACATCTTTTTTCTCCCTCCATCTCAATAATTTTCCATGTCCAGACCAAAAAGAGAAAGGAAGGAAAGGAAAAGAAAATCTTTTCTTCTTGTCTTTCACATTCATCTCTAGTTGCCATCTTAAATAAATTTAGATTTCTGCTGTTGCCTAACCCATCTTTCTCCTCTAGTGTTTCCCATCAACACAGTTCTTCCTAGGATACCTATTTCATCTATTTATTTTCTATTGAGATATCTAGCTGGGATGGTGTCTTAGTATGTTTATGCTGCTATAACAAAATAGCATAGACCGAATAACTTATTTATGCATTTATTTAAATTTTTTAATTTTCACTTATGGGTGAAAATAGTTGATGGGGTACATCTGATGTTTTTATACAAGCATAGAATGTGTACTGACCAAATCAGGATAAGTTGGATATCCATCACCTCAGGAATTTATCTTTTTCTTTTCTTTTCTTTCTTTTTTTTTATTTGTATTAGGAACATTCCAGTTCCACTCTTTTCATTAAAGTATACTAGACTTATTGTTGATTGTATTCCCTTTGTTGTGCTAAAAATATTGTGCATTCTGTCTAACTATATATTTTTTTGCATCAATTAACCATCCCCACTTTATCCTCTACTCCCTGCTGTTCTTCCCAGCCTCTGGGAACCATCATTCTATTCTCCATCTCCCAACTGAGATCATTTATTTTACTCTTTAGCTCCCACATATGAATGAGAATATGAGATATTTGTCCTTCTGCCCTTGGCCTGTTTTACTTAACATAATGTTCTTCATCTCCAGTTGTATCCGTGTTGCAAAGGCAGGATTTCATTCTTTTTAATGGCTATATAATATTAAATTGTGTACATGTACCACAATTTCTTTATCCATTCATCCATTGATGGGCATAGGTTGATTCCAAATGTTGGCTGTTGTAAATAGCGCTGCAGTAAACATGGGAGTGCAGAGATCTTTTTGATATGCTGAATTCCCTTCTTTTGGATATTACAGATGTACCTAGCAGTGGGATTACTTGGTCATGTGCTAGTTCTATTTTTAGTATTTTGAGCAATCTCCATATTGTCTTCCGTAGTGACCGCACTAATTTATGTTCCTACGAACAGTGTACCAGGGTTCTCCTTTCTCCACATCTTCACCAGCATTCATTATTGCCTGACTTTTTGATAACAGCCATTTTAACTGGGATGAGACATCTCATTGTAGTTTTAATTTGCATTTCTCTGATAACTAACAACATTGAACATTTTTTAATAAACCTGTGGCCATTGTATATTTTCTCTTGAGAACTATCTATTCCTATCCTTTGCCCTTTTTATGGAACGATTTGATTTTTTTTTCCTATTGCATTCTTAGAACTCCTATGTATTCTAGTTATAAATCCCTTGTCATATGGGTAGTTTACAAATATTTTCTCCCATTCTGCAGGTGGTCTCTTCATGTTGCTGATTGTTTCTTTTGCTGTTCAGAAACTTTTTAGCAATATTGAATCTCACTTGTCCGATTTAGGTTGCCTGAACTTCAGGGGTGTTACTCCAGAAGTCCTTTCCCAGACCAATGTCCCAAAGCATTTCCCCAATGTTTTCTTTTAGAAGTTTCATAGTTTCAGGTCTTTCATTTAAGTCTTTCCTCTATTATAATTTGATTTTTGTATATGGGAGGAGATAAGGGTCTAGTTTCATTCTTCTGTATATAGATATCCAGTTTTCCCAGCACAATTTACTAAAGAGACTGTCCTTTCCTCAATGTATGTTCTTGGCAACTTTTTCAAAGATAAGGTTATTATAATTGTGTAGATTTATTGGTTCCATTAGTCTGTGTAAAAGACTGGATAATTTATAAAGAACAGAAATTTATTTTTCTTATAATTCTGGAGGCTGAAAAGTTCAAGGTCAAGGAATGAAGTTTTGGTAGAGGTCTTATCTACCTCTGCTTTCAAGATGGCACCTCAAAAACTTTGTACTCCAGAAACGAGGAAAGCTATGTCCTCAAATGGCAGAAACTGAAAAGGCAAATGAGGGTGAACTCCCTTTGCCAAGCCCTTTTATAAGGGCTCTTAATTCCATTCACTAGAACAGAGCCCTTATGACTCAATCACCTCCCAAAGACCACACCTCCCAACACTGTTGCATTAATTTGTGAAGGAGAGAAAAACTTTAGATCGTAGTAGATAGTTCTTCAGTGTGCATGGAGTAGAGTCTCAAGTCCTGTCCTCAATTGCTCAAAGTAAATAATTCATGTTAGCCAGATTAGTTTCTTTCTTTTCTCCACCAAACACTGCCCAATCTAATTCCAAACTACCTGTACCCATACAGTGTAGTGGTAGATCTAAGGTTCCTACCTCTTAACATAGAGCTCTAATCCCATGCTCCCCATGAGAGGCTATCTATTCTCAGCACTTCCACGTGCACCAAATAATACAACTACCTGCTTCACAAATTTGGTTAGCTCACATATTGTCTCCCAAGTTCATGAAAGTGGGTGCATCACTTATATTTCTCCTGAATAACTAGCACATACTGTATATATGTAGATGACACTTGATGACTTTTTGTCATTTGAAAAATAAAATGTTTGCTTTTACTCTCATCCTTCTTTTCTGTGTACTGTTCAATTACCATCTACTGGTGGCATTTCAAGAGAATTTATCTTAAATTTAAGTGGTGAGCAGAGAAAATGTAAGCAATCACAAGCTTCTTCAAATGTGCCCTCTGTCATATATTTTGTGCATTTTGACACAGACTTCGAGAGAAAAGCTATCATCTGTGTGGCTTTACCATCTAGAGACGTGACAAGGACCCTGGAAACTTAAGAAAAAAAAAAAAAGGAAAGAGTAGTGCTGGGTCTGACCAGAGAGGGTCTTGCCTAGCTCCTTGAAGGCTGTCCACACAGGCTTGGACAAGGTATAGCTTCCCGTGGCTTTTTCTAGAGGCTACTTTTTAAATTGGGAAAGGTATAAGAACTGTAGAATTCAAACCAAAAATTCACATCTAGATGGGAGCCTACATTATTGGAGAAAGAAGTTATCGAAGAAAACAAATTCAGTTGATAAAGCAAAATCAGTAACCAAAAAAATTGTTCTTTCCTTTGTTCAATATCAGGGAAAATAGCATCTGTCTTCAAATAGGTTTCCTTCTCAGTAAGAGCAGCCCGCACCCAGGTAGCTCAGGGGCCAGGATTAATGTTTAAGTCATATTCTAATTAAGGAAAGCATCCTTGCCAGAGACAAGTGTGATTGGGTGGGGGCTTGTTTGCAGCTGTGAAATCACGGGACAATCAGAATTACCAGCTGGGACTGTGGGGTAAATACCATTCCTCTTTTATGATCTGTGCCTAAGGAATTACAAGTGAGGAAGAGCCAGTTTGAGTCACCTAATTGCCAGAGTCTAGAATCTAGTAGCTATAATTATATTTCCTCTGTAAGTTCACTTGAAGTATGAAGAATATGACAATTAACATACAATTAAATGGTAATTTAGAAGCAGCCTGCCAAGGATAATGTTCATAACCCCAAATCAACCCTGCAGTTTTATATAAATTATCAAGGGAATTTGAACCAAGGCAGCTGTACTGTTGGAAAAGTAGAGGAGCCAGGTTTTATTTCCATAGACTTGCTAGAGGCCACCATTGAAATTATCAAGTGCATTTCACTATTGCACAATTTGAGTTATTATTATTTGATGTATTAGTACAGCACCTGGCACATAAAATGTGTTTATTAAACAAACAATGAAACAAATGAATAATTCTAGTACCCAAAGGCTGTGCTTCCAAAGTGCTGTACTTGCCTTTCATGCAGCTGAAGCAGATGAGCAGGTGACCTTCTCTCAGGTGGGGTAATGAAGACAGCCACTTACCCAGTTGTCTGCAAACACCTTTATGAAGCTAACGGCACTTTTTCATAGCACATTTTAGACAATGTTTCATTTCCATGTATACATTTCTCATTAGTCAAAGAACTTGGTATAGAATAAATAACGGAGGGACATCATTTTAATTTACACCATAAAAAGGCTTACTATTCAGTTCTCAGGCCTTCTGTATTCAAATCCAGAAATAGCAAAGTCAAATGCCTTTAGCCAAACGCAGTGTTACAACAAGAAGTGAGTTCAGAAGGAGTTGTTGGGGTCAGACCTGCACATTGTCACTAACTTGTTACTTGGCTCTAGATAACAGCTGTTGCCACATGAGAATGGAGGAAATAGTAGCGCTATTTCTTCTGATTTTTTTTAAAGCTCCCAGAAATTTAGATAATTATATGAAAGC